AGTACTGGAATCGACGTTTCCGTGACCCGTGTGGTTGCAAAACACCGCAAATATCGTGGTACTGGAATTCGGCGGTTGCATGCGGTTGCAAAACCACCGCAAATAACATGGTACTGGAATTCGGCGCTTGCAAAACCACCGCAAATAACATGGCACTGGAATTCGGCGGTTGCAAAATCACCGCAAAAAACATGGTACTGGAATTCAGCGGTTGCAAAACCACCGCATATACCGTGGTACTGGAATTCGGCGGTTGCAAAACCTCCGCAAATACCGTGGTACTGGAATTCGGCGGCTGCAAAACCACCGCAAATACCATGGTACTGGAATTCGGCGGTCTCAAAACCGCCGCAAATACCATGGTACTGGAATTCGGCGGCTTGCAAAACGGCCGCAAATACCGTGCTACGGCTGCAAAACCATCGCAAGTACCGTGGTACTGGAATTCGGCGGCTTGCAAAACACCGCAAATACCATGGTACTGGAATTCGGCGGTTGCAAAATCACCGCAAAAAACATGGTACTGGAATTCGGCGCTTGCAAAACCACCGCAACTACCGTGGTACTGGAATTCGGCGGTTGCAAAATCACCGCAAAAAACATGGTACTGGAATTCGGCGGTTGCAACACCACCGCATATACCGTGGAACTGGAATTCGGCGGTTGCAAAACTACCGCAAAATACCGTGGTACTGGAATTCGGCCTGCTGTCTTCCCTGTAATTACAGGCCAGCTGTTCTCGACCTTGTGAGCCGATGATAAATGACAGCATCCTAAACATTAAACCCCGAACTATAAACCCACTACAGCACTTATACACCGCGCAGACGCGCCAAGACACCTACACGGCGCACATGCGCCACAGCAACTGCACCGCACTGCGATCGCGGCACCCAGAACGCTGCCAGATACGCGTCCCTTGCTGACGTGGAACTGCTTGCTTTCGGGATAATCGGGGTCTAGTTACTATTGCTATCTGCATTCTGCAGAAGATTTGGCTCTGGGCGGCTGAGAGCCAAAGCTGTGGGGATGGCTCCTCGCATTCGCAAACATGGAGGCTGTGTTGGGGAATATCGGGGTGTTTTTTGAGATCATGTCAGAGAAAACGGAAACTGCTATTTAGGGTTCAGGGTTTAGGGTTGTTACAAGCATGCAGGATGCGTTAAACCCTACTAGCTACCGTCATTCCTGTGATGATTGGCTATCTTGATATTCTGGTTGCTTTATTGCACATGTTTTATCAATATGTTCAATATTGCTAAGTTTGTTTTGTCATAGCTCTCTCTCATTCTTCTTTTCCTTGACATGCCTCAGAACCCCAGGAAGGTGGTGTCCCTATCGCTTTCAATGTTGCTTTCCATTTGGGTCTGCATAGTAACATAGTATTGCTACTGATACATCCCGGAAAAATCCCTACATATAGTAGTTGCTATGTCTAATTCATTAATGTTCCATAATCTTTTCCACTTCTTTCTCCATTATTGCGGTAAAATTTCTATAGCCCCTATATCACAATCCCTGTACAATCCCAGTAGAAACCCTACATAATCCCTATACGATAATCCTTATTTCATCCCCAAGCCCTAAACCCTCTGAACCCTCGACCTTGTACTTCAGGCGCCTGACGAGAACCTGGAGCCAGAGCGCCCTGAGCGCCCCGAGCGCCCTGAGCGTCGAGCTCCAGGCGGACTAAGTTGCGGAAGGAGGATTCAGGGATTAGGGTCTAGGGTCTAGGGTTTCAGGGGTTTAGAGGTTAGGGCTTTAGGTTTTTAGGGGTTTAGGGTTTTTGTTTTAGGGTTTAAAGTTTGAGGTTGGGGGCCCCAGGGCCTTAGGGTGCAGGGCTTGGGACGAGGAATACGTATACTGCTATAATAAAAATGCTTATCACAATTATGATTATGAATTTGGCGGTATCATTGTGACTACTATTAGTACTGTTATATGGTTCGGTAATCTAAGCAATGATAAGGCAAAATCACGACCCACAAACCCATAGAAGAGGCAAATACGCTATTATCCTGCCTGAATTTGGGATCAAGGTAGTCGAAAATCAGGACTGGAGCACCAAAGGCAAAGGGAGAGTGAAATGGAAACTACAGTACCACGTACGTATAGCACAGTATTGTCTACTGCTTTTTCATTCACAATTCACAATGGGAATGAACGTCGAAGTTACTGTGTCCAATACCATAGAACTTGGATACTGCCCCCCACTCCTTGACCTGTGCATAATATTTTACAACACAGCTACATACAAACCTTACTGTGACCCCTATTGTAGACTGTTGATGGGTGGAGGCAGGGCCCAATACAGAACACTATGCAAGATGTTCTGCCTAGTCTTGTCCCCGGATGAAATCCTAAATCTTAAATCCTAAACCCTAAGTCCTAAATCCAAAGCCCTAAGGGGCGCCACCAAAAAAAAGACGCTAAACCCCAAACCCTATCCCCTGAGGAACTCCAAGCCATCCCGTCCTGTTGCCAAGGCCCAAGCTGCAAGGCCGCAGCTAAGGCCCGAAGCCCAGGAAGCCATGACTCTACCTCTGGTTAGGAAGGTTAAGGTGTTTAGGATTTAGGGTTCAGGGTTTAGGGTGTAGGGTCTAGGGTTTAGGGTTTAGCGTTTAAGATTTAGGGTTTAGGATTTAAGGTCTAGGGTTTAGGATTTAAGGTTTAGGATTTAGGGTTTAGGGTTAGAGTGTAGGGTACTTGGAATAAAAGCATTGGATCCTTATACTTAGTTAATAGTAGGGAATAAGGTATAGTCGGTATAGTGCAAAGTTCACATAATATAAGAGTAATGGAAAGAAAGAGGAAAGCTGTATTCAGGGTTTATGACTTTAGGCTTAGTAGGGAGTAAGGGAATACAGGGCCTATATAGGGGTTACCTTATCCCTCTGGTTACTTTCTTCGGGTTAGTACATGAGGGGATATGTTATATAGTTCGGACTATATAGGGATTCTATTGCACATCCCCTATTAACCCAGGAAGTATAGTAGTCCCAGAAGAATCCCCAGTAACATATGAGGTTCCATGTCTTTTCCATTCCTTCAGTTCCTGCTACTTGAAAGGAGTGTGGCCGAGAGCTTTTGGATTTCAGGCCAAGGCGAAAACGCGCCGCCAGCTGCTAGAGGCCATGGCCATTTGGGCGGGGTGCATCAGACTGAAGTGTTGCGTGCGCGGCATGCGCAGGCCTTTGTTTCCAGGGAGGATTACCACCGACAGAAGCACTACGATTTCTGCAGCAAGCAGGCAAGTGCAGCTTCTAAGCAAAGGAAGGCTGCTGAAGTGCGGCTCTGCAGAGGTTCTGTCGGTTTACACCACCTTCCCGAGACCGTTCTTCTCCCGGGAGGACTTTCGGAGTTGTGTCCAGGCGGATGAAGCTGCGCAGTCCTGCTGCATGTTTGCATGTGCACACCTCGCAGGCGCCGCAGGTCTTGCCGGCACCAGTGGCACCACAGGAAGAGAAGGCTTCTAAGGGATCAGAAGAGCGTGCGGCCACAGCGAGCGTCGCTCCGGCAGCTCCCACAGCTCACGTGGCAGACACAGCTCCTACAGCAGCTTCACCAGCTGCGCCTTCGCATGGCGCTGTGTGGAGCCGCTCGCCCCGTTTCCCTGCGCTTCTTCCAAGCACCAAGGCCAGCCTTTAGGCTTATATGTTGGGATAATGGAAAGTAAAGTGGAAACTATTGTATTATCAGAGGGTACATGTTTGGGCTTTGTAGGAGTTATACAGGGATATTGCCACAAGCATACAAAAGAAAATATAAACTACTGTGCCATAATACAACTGTGAAAGTATAGTTTCCATGTTCTTTGCACTATCCCAACCCTGAAGACTAAACCCTAAACATTGTGTTATATTGGGGTTATATTAGGGCACATATAGGGGTTATATAGGGATAATGGAAAAGAAAATGGAAGCTACTATATTATACTAAAATGCGTGTGTTGCAAGGAGGCCGCGACCGAAGTCCAGGTCCCGAGCCCTCGGAAGGCAGCTTGGAAAGATGAAATGGAAACTACTGTTTTGTGGTGTTTAGAGATTTAGGGTTTAGCCTTGAGGGTTTAGGGATTTAGGGTTAGGGTTTTAGGCTTTAGGGATTATGGTTTAGGGATTTAGGGATTTAGGGTTTAGGGATTTAGGGTTTAGGGATGTAGGGTTTAGGGTAAAGGGATATTATCACGATGATCGAAAATCAAATGGACAAGAACATGGAAAGTGAATGGGACCTGGGATTAAAAAAGGGATCATAAGAGAAGAGCATGGCAAAAGTAAGATACTTGGACTAACATATATCTATATGGGAATAACCTCATACAAACACTACCCAAGGCATCCGCCACAAGGTGCTGATCATGAACTTTAGATCCTAAACCCTAAATCCTAAACCCATAAGCCTACATCCCAAACCGTATCTCCCCTGAATCCTAAACCCTAAATCCAAGCCCAAACCTACACCCTAAATCCTAAACCTAATTCCTGAACCCTAAACCCCATGCCTCGTTGAGTCATAAGGCTCCAGACCGTCTTCAGCTACTGAAGACGTCGTCGGGCCCCCATTGGAATTTCTAGGGATTTTCCCGAAGCTTTGGGAAGTCTCCAATGGGTTGAGGATTCTAGGATTTTAGGATTCAGAGTTTAGGGTCTAGGATTTAGGGTTTAGGATTTTTAGGCTTTAGGTTTTAGGACCAAACACTCCCCCATTTTGGGTGGTAGTGTGACCGATTGTTCCTCCAGAATTGGGAGCTTCCGTAGATGAAGGGGACCCCAATATGGACCCCAGTATATTCAATTGCCGACTATGCACCCTCCAAATGGTATGTCTATCACACGTTTTTTTCCCGGCTTTCCATTTCATGTTCCATTTTCTCTTCCCTTCGATATACGATCACAAAATATAGCACAATGTGGTATAGTCAATAGAAGTTTGCATTTTCTTGTCCATCAGTTCCTGTTCCGAGTGCTGTTTGAGCGAAGGCCTGCGTGGTCCTTCGGATGCCATGGTGTTGGCCATCGCTACCCCGGTGCTGTCCTAAGCTTCTTGATGCTTCCGAAAATTAGGACTGCCTCTTTGGAGGGTCCCGAGACAGAATAAGGACTGTATTTTGGGGGGGTCTGCACTGGGATCTTCCCATTTATGGAAACTACCACCTACCTACATATTGGGGTCTTGGGCATAGTTGAGGAGTGGAACCTTTTGCACGCTGCTCTGAGAGGCCCTAGATGGTCCTCTTGAATATGCTTCTAACAGTAGAAGACCTTAAACCCTCAAACCCTTGACCCTTAAAACCTAAAATTTAGCCTAAAACCCTTAGCCCCTGAAGCCATTCAAAACTTAAGAAAAGTGTTGCCAAAGCGGTCTTTGAAGGCCGAGGCGTGCTACCGCGAGGGCTGGAGTCTAAGGATCTTGCAAGTGAAGGGCTGCAAAACATCGTATTGTTCGTGTAACTGATGTGTATATATATAATGGAAAACCCAGTGAAGAACAAAGTCAAAGTGTAGTTACATGGTGGTTTATAGGGATTTCGACTTCGAACACGGCACCTAATACCTAATATCCATGGTACCCAAGAAAAGATTGCACATGCTCTGTACGTGTATATATATATATGTATATATGCGCATATCTTTGGGGGAAGGGTTCCAAGAATCAGTATCCACTGCGGTACCTGTAGCAAGAATCGCAGTATTTTGGATCATATTGGGGTCCCCGATTTCACGTGAACTTTACAGAAACTGCCACATATACACATACACATACATATATATATATACGTATATATATATATATATTCATTATACTTGCTTCCGCTCCTTCGCAAAGTAAACATCAAACCTAGCCAAAAACCCAAAAACCTTGAACATCCCAAAAACCTTCTGAATCCCCAAAAACCGCAAGGCCCCGACACGTGGACTTCCGGAGCTTGCGTGCGAGCCTGGCCTTCGATGACACTCGACTCCTCGAGGTGCCAAGCGCTTGTGGTTTAGGGCTTAGGGGTTTGGGGTTAAAGGTTAAGGGTTCTGGTGTTTATGGGGTTTAGAGGTTACGGCTTAGGGGTTTAGGGCTTGGGGGTTTGGGGTGGGAATTCTGAAGTGTTTTCTGTGTTGTAACCTCACGGTCCAGTCTGTTTACACTACGTAGAGCCTGCCTGGAAGACACCGGGAGTTGTGAGCAGTGAGGGTAAGCAGCTCCTCAAGAAGACAACATAGAATCCATAGAATCTAGGATATTGTTGAGGAAGTAAATTCTTACGGAATTTTGCTCTTGTCTTGCAAAGCAGCTCCTTCCAGCTTGTCTGAGCATGTGACCTGCAGCTTCTTTGGCCGTCCTGACAGGATCCCTGGGTCCCTAGCCGTGATTGAGAGGAGTTCTTCTTACTGGGGCTTAGTAGGGAGTAACGGAATATAATCCCTATAGAACCCCTACATAGTGCATTCCTTTATTCCCTTCTAAGCCCCCGAGGAGTTCTTTGCAAATTTTAGCGATGAAATGGCGGCAGTCGCTGACTGCGCCAGAGAGCCGAACCTCTTCTTGCTCCACTGCTCAAAGCACAGAGAGCTCGACGGGGAAACCTAGGTGGGGCAGGAAACCGGGTCTTTGCAATTTTGGTACCCCTGACTATCAATCCAAAACCGGCCCATAGTTTTGAGAATAATCCACATGATAGTTTGCAGAGGAACATTCGATAGTTTCCGGCCCCAGAAGAGCGCAGAATGCGCAGCGATAATGTTTTGCTTAGGCGCCATAGGCCCTTCCGGGCAGGGCGCCAGGGCAGGCGAACCGGCTTCCATTGGAAGCTCACGGTGCCACCCTTGCATTCGCAACGAGGGCCATTCGCGGAACAAAAGCAGCTCTGTCAGCATACACGCGTTTGTGTGCGTGCACAAGCATGCGGCGCGTGCAGCATTTTGTGATGGTGCTCTTGTTGTTGCTTGTCTGCTTGTCCCATCCGGATACATCGTGGATCGAGATGATGCTGGGGCCTTGCCTTACCCTAGGGGTCCAAATAGCTCGATGTAAGTAATGTTTACAGACTTTAGGGCCCAATGTTGGTATTGTTTATAGACGTGGATCGAGAGTGTTAATGTGCGAAGGCACTGTGCCTTTTCTGGCTGATGGCCTTGGCCTTTGCGCCCGCTCCGAGGCCTTGGGGAAAGCTGCTGCCACGCAGTGTGACGTTGAGACTTGACTTGGCCAGGCAGACGGAGGCAGACGATGACGTTCCCTTTTGGGAGGAGGCTGGATATGAAGAGATGGAGCCTGAAAGGCAGGTGCCTGGAGGACCCTTGTCAAGCGAGAAGGAGCTAAAGCATCGTTCTGAGATGCTCTCGCCCTCGAGCGTACTTGGAGCTCCACCTTCACTGCCACTCCGGGAAACTGCGGGGCCCATGAAAGAGAAGCCCCGCCGCAATTCCATGCCTGGACTTATGCGGGCTCGCGCCTCCTGGACAGCCTCCTTCCTCGATTCTCGACCCGAGAAGTCGATGCCGTCGCCCCCAGCAAATTTGCCATCACAGCCTGACAGCACCAGTACCAAGTCCTTCGAAAGTCCCCTTATGTCCAGCCTGGATTCGCCTGCGCCTTGGCTTTTGCGCAGTTGAGCGAAGAGGGGATGTAGTGTGGGTATGGGCTAAAACACGAAAGGTCTGAAATGAAGGCACCTGCAAGGGAGCCAGAAACGCTGGGAACCCAGAGGAAAAGACTCCGGAGGCACCTGCAGTGCTTTTCTGAATCGACTTGAGGCGGCCGTGGTTGCAGGCCTTCGCGTTTACGTCATTCACCAGGCTAAACCCACGACTTTGTCAATGCTCCAGGTGCCAAGCTTCCACCCTGCTGCAGCTGCTGCTGTTGGAGTAGGACTAGGCGCAGCTCGCATAGCTCAATGCTCAAGGCCTTCATATCCTTCATTCTTGCACAAGCTCTCAGCAGGAGCAAGTGAGCGCATGCTGGTGGAGACCTTGCTGGTGTCGCCTGTGCCTAAACAGGACCGTTTCCACCTTGGCGCTATGCAGCAAGCACATGAGGCTTCGGCGATTCCAAGGGACTTCGCTGAAGGCAAGGCGGTCCAAGTCACGCCGCATGAAGTTGAAAGACCTGGAGAGGAGCTTATGCTCCTAGCCAAGCGTAAGTTTTCTGCTTCTAAGCCAACCAATCACACTCTGAAGTGCAGCAAAGCGGTAACTTCTTGCAGGCTTGGCGATGTGACTTCGACAAGCACGGAGTAGGCCCGGGGGCCTGGAACCCTGGGAGCCGTAAACCTGGGAATCCGCAGCCCTGAGCCCAGATCCCAAACCCGACAAATCTTTTACGTTTTTCCCAACCGTTTGCCCCAAACCCTACATGAGCCATTGTCTAGATTCCTTAAAGTGGGGTTATATAGAGGATTATATAGGGAAGTAAAATAGGGGGATACTAGGAGTTTAGACTATAGCTCATATCCCCCAATGTCTGCCATCGAATGGGTGCCAAAGTAGGTTCCAAAATCTGACTGAGGATGGGTCAGTCAGGCGGAGTTTGCCCGCGCTTGCAGATTCTTCGGGTGCCTCGTCTTGGCTTAGCCCCAGGAAATTGGGGTTTGAGGAATGAGTCTTCTTGCTCTTCTTCAACCCTTCATTGAGGGTCAAACTTTGGAGCTCTGACCATGATTTCATTGTTGGGAGTACGTGAGCTATAGTCTAAAGGGGGTTAAACAGTTAGATTACAGCTAATGTGAGCAGAGCCTGCTACCTTTGGCCGCGGCATTTGCCTCCAAGAGTGCTGTTCCCAGCATGACAGAAATGGAAGTTTCCCAAAACGGTAGGTCCGATTCTTATACCCCAATAGATTATAACCTTCAGTATCGGAACCCCCCGAAACCCCAAATCAGGTGCTCCGCGGACCAAATCTGGACGAGCTGCCGGGTAAGCGGAGGCTGGGAGATCCCGGGGATGCACAACTGAGTTGCTGTTCAGGGTTTAGGATAGAGGGTTTAGGGTTTAGGATTTAGGGTGTAGGCTTTAGGGTTTAGGGTATAGGGTTAGGGATTAGGGTTTAGGTTAGGCTGCACAAGTGGCAGTAGCTGTTGGGGAATTTAAATTAAGCTACCATTCTATGGGCATATGGGGTTGAGGGGGTGTCTACAGTAGTTAATATGGTTTCCCCAAAGCAGTACGTTAACGTAAGTTCCTTAACAGCAACCCAGACAAGTGCAGTATTTGGGTGCTCCAAGAAATACGAGCATCTCAGGCACTCCTTGAAATTCACATCAAAAGGATCCTACCACTTGAGGGGGGGACAGAAGGTCAGCTTTTCTCAGTAGATCTTTGAGCTAAGCCCAAACCCTAAAACCTCAATTCCTAAACCCGAAACCGTAATCCGTAAACCCCAGACCCTGAGCCCTAAACCACAATCCCAAACACCCTAAGCCCTAAACCTGCCAAGGGGCTGGGATGAAATTCTGGGAGCTGGGGCCTCAGCTTGCTTTGTCATGCCGAGGGCTGGGGATGTTGCTGGGCATATATTGTTGAATGATTTCGCGGCCATAACCCCATAAAACTCCCGCAGAGCCATAAGAATTCAACTTGTATAGGGCTCCCAAACCCTAGATTCATAGTAGTTTCCGCTTTTTCCCATTTTTTTAATATCCTTATAGTCCTAGAAGGCAGTGCCTTCACCTCCACTTAGGCTCGACCACGAAGAGGCGAGCAACCTGGAGCTTTTCGAGCAGGCAAAGGAGTTTCAGCCCAACTCTTTCACTGGAGCTTAGAAGTGGGTGGGTTTAGGTTTTAAGGTTTAGGGTTTAAGGATTTAGGGTTTTGGGGTTTAGGGTTTGGGTATGTGCTAGAATTATATTATGGATCCTCCTCTGTGCAACGTTTCTCTAGCCCCTAACATAACTTATTAGAGCGTCTCGTAGAACCCTTGTATGAATTCCTATATACCCAATGTAAGCCCTTGTATAACCCCTATATAACCCCATATAGAACCCAAGATCATCCTGCGTACAACCCCTAAAAGAACACCCTAAATAACCCAAGATCACCCCTGATATAACCCCCTATATAACCCCTGATGTAACCCTCTATGACCCCTGTATAACCCTCTAATATAACCCTATACAAACCTTCGTATAACCCCCCATGTAATCGAATATAATCCACTATAACTCCTTGTAGAACCCCCTGGAGAATCCAATGCAACCCCCCATACCTAAGCCCCAATCTTAAAATCATATACCCTAAAGCGTAAACCCCAAATCAGAAACCCTAGACCCTAAATCCTAAACCTTACAACCCTAAACCCTAAAGTCCTAGCTCCCTTGATGACCATCTCTTTTGGTTAGCTAGGAATGAAGGAATGGCTCCTTATTTTAGTAGTCCCTATGACGCATTATACTGCTTCCCATGTTCTTTTCCATTCCCTATAAACCGGAAACCCTAAGCCCTAAATGCGAAAAGGTCGGATAAAGAAAATATTCCTTCTAAGTCTTAAGCCCTAAACCCTACCCATTGTAGTAGTTTCCAATTTCTTTTCCATTCCTTCATTCCAAGCTAACCAAAGGTGGAGCACTTTGGGCAGGTTCTCTGGATCCGCACAGGCTTCGACCTCTCCAGGGCCTGGGCGGGCGCTTCAGCGGATCTCTTGCTGACTTCACTCTTCCTTCCACAACTTACTGGTTCTAAGTAGGGAATGTGCGAATATTTTATATCAATATGACATTATATCATAGTATTTACTGGTTCTAACTACTACGGAAAAAGGGCATATTCCTGCTAGAACGGAGAATCAAATGGAAAAGAAAGGGAAAATGAAATGGACACGAGGTTTATAGAGGTAATATTGGGGTTGGTAGTAGGGAATAAGGGCATACATCTATGGAGATTGTATAGGGGTTGTATTCCCTTCTTCCCTACTAAGAACCAGGAAGGCAAAAAGAAAAAGCAAAACATGGTGGTATAAGAAGATTAGCAATATAGCTGATATAGCAAAAGCCGGCAGCTAGTACTGGCAGTACGAATTACTATGAACAAACACTAGTATTCTGAGTAATGCAGTGGTAAAAGTAAACAACAGTTCTGTGGAATTTGAAGCCATAACACAGCCCCTGCGTGGGAAGTCTGAGGCCATCCTAGATCCGAGCAACCGACAGGTGGGATTTGGAAAGCAATTTGCTGGGGGGGGAGGGGGTGGATACGGACTTATGGTTCCTTCTCTAGGGTTTAGGGCTTCTAGGGGCCGTGAGTTTCTCCTCTGATTTCCGGTAAGAGCATTCCCACTTTGTGTAATTTCACCTTCTTGAACAGGCTCTGACGCTGCAGGAGTTTGTCCGCGGCTGCAGGCGCCAGCTGAGTAGTACCCAAAATTTAGAATCCCAAATTTGGAACCTCCAAGGCCGATCCTGTACTTCATTGGTTCCTAAACCCCAGACACTATTGCATATCCAGACGGCGGAATCCCGATAGTCACTAAGGCGGGCTACTCATATCATCTCCAGGGGAGTGTTCCTCCACAGAATTCATCTAGGTTTAGCTCCAACGGTTTAGGGTTGAGAGGTCTTCATTCTAGAAGTACAAGCCTTAAAGTAGGGTGCTGTTTTGGTGTAGTGGCCTATGAGCTTTTGTCATATGTAACAGAACAATAGTTCCACCATACGTCCCCCTAAACCCTCAACCTACAAGCCGCATGGCTTCGAAGAGACTGGCCATGCTGACAGGGAGCTGGGCTTTGACGGAGATGCTCAGCATATCTTCAAAGGCGGCTGCAAGGGAGTGCATACTTGACCTGCCCCAGTCCCTACAGTAATACTAGTGGTAAAAATAGAAATAGGAATAGTACAAGTGAATATAAATAGTAGTACTTGTAACGGTAGTCAAATAATCATAGTAAGAGATCATTCCTTGCAGCGCCAGATCCTTATGCGCAGCTTGGGTAGGCACTGGCTCAGGAAAGAGCACCACAAAACTCTCGAGGAGAATGGGGAGCCTCTGATGAGGCTCCAGTAGGAGCATGGGCAGCCATGGCAAGGGATGTGGATGCATTGGATCTGCAGAAGCTCAAGGTCTTGCTCCGACGCTTTGACAAGGTGGGGTTGCGTCTTGTAGGGAGGGCTCCCAAGAATTCAGGTCCCCTTCTTGAAGCCCCTCAATTCTGGTACTTTCCTGATTGTGTTTACTCCCAAGACACAAGCCCCAGATTCTTGGCAATCCTGTTATTGCGAGTCCTGATGTATTTCCAGGAATGTAGACCTGTGATTGTTAAACTCCCCTCCCTTTTCTAATCCCTATCCTAATGCTGACTATGGGGATGGCTTTATTAATCACGGGTCTAGATTAGAGCCGTGCGAGGATCACACCGGGACCCTGAGTCGGACGCAGTTTGAAGGGATCCTCCGCCCGCGCCTCAGTGTTCGAGCGGCTTGACATGGAGCAGAGACCGGAAAAGTACTGCAAGATGTAGAACAGATTCCATTTTCTGATCCACTATCTCTAAAGCGCAGAAGTCGGACCATTTGCAGATGAGCTATAGTTATAGTCACTATAGTCTAAACTCCTTATAGGGGACTATATAGGGGACTATTATAGGGTGAAAGAGGGGGATATTAGGAGTTTAGACCATGGCTCCCATGAAACAAGATCAAGTTGCGAAAGCCCTCGACCTCAGGCAGCACCCTGCCAGCCACCGAGACGGTCAGCCGAGATGACATGGACCACATGTGGTCCAAGTTTCTTACCGGGGCTTAGTAGGGAATAAGAGAATAGTATCCCTAGATGGCCCTCTATTACTGGGGCTTAGTAGGGAATAAGGGAACATATGATATAGGCACAAGATAGGGATTATATTCCCTTATTATTCCCTACAAGGCCCCAGTAAGGTTTCCCAAGCGCGAAGATGGAGACGCTGAGTATGACGACTTCATCAAGCGGCTTACTTGTATTACTCTATAATCCCCAGGTGGCCTACCTACAATTTTCGTATACTCCTCATAGATGTATATGTTCACATGTACATATATACATGGTATATTATCCCATAATATTCATCCCTCCTTTGCAGTTTATGTTCATGCCCCCAGTCCGGGCCATGTTGTTTTTTGCAAAGGTTTGGCTCTACCCTGGTT